AAAAAAAAAAAAGTGCGGGGTGCCGATGATCCCCGACTGCTAGGTGCCGACCAGCCGATCGGTCGGCGGGTCAGCAGCCGACCAGTCAAGGGCCGCCGACCGTCGGGGTGTGCAACCCTGCATGGCGTCCCTTCCTTCAAAAGAACTTTCCCAACCCCAATATCAACAAACCAAAGCAGAGGTGATGTCAACGGCTGCAATTCAGACACCCAACAGGAAATCCAAATGTCCAACCGAACCACCTGCTGAAACATCATTTGTTACCAGGAAGCAAAATCAGAATAAGAAAAATCCGAGGCAAACACGCAAAGATGATATGATCCTTATGTAATGAACCCTATCTGGCAGATACTCAGAAGTCGTCAAAAATCAGTAGTCTCATTATCTGCCTCAAAGTCTCCAGATCGTGAAGTGATATCTCAAACAGTATCTCATTACCATCACAAGAAGAGAGTGGAGGGGGAACAGACAAAGGAGAAGATGAAAGATCACACAGTAATCCCTTCTGACCCCTCTCCTTCTCTGGGCTTCTTCCCTCTCCACGTCAACAATGATAATAAGTTTATTCCTGATCACATAATACTGCCAGGCGGCACTTTTTCTCGTGAAGACCACGAAGTCATAGCAGATTCCCGTGACGACGTCAACCTCAGGTGAGTACTCGACCTCCTTCATCCACAGATCCCGATCTTCCTCCTCCTCGCAACCAGTCACCTCATGTAGACAGCGTGGACAATGCCATGTCAACAGTCGAAACAGGTGGCATATGCCACATCAGCAATGGAAACCAGTGGTAGCACCACAACTGCATGCAATGTAGACCAGAGGTAGCGCCACATCAGCATGCAATGTAGACCAGAGGTAGCGCCACATCAGCATACAATATAGACCAGAGGTAACACCACATCAGCATGCAATGTAGCCCAGAGGTAGCGCCACATCAGCATGCAATGAAAACCAGAGGTAGCGCTACGTCAGCAATGTAGACCAGAGGTAGCACCACATTAGCATGCCACCTCAGCAAGCCTGGCGCACAATGCAGAAAGCGTCAGCATGCTGTCTCCACCTCGTGCCGTCATCCGCATCGCCGATGCACAGCCAGCATCAAGCCATCATAATGCCAGCGTCTAGTCAAAAAAAGCGAGCCAGCGTCAAAACAGCATAGCAAGACTGAATGCTTGACTCACTCGAGGCCAGCCTTAAGTAGCATTTGTCGAGGCTGTCTGGCTTCGGGTGCTTTCCCCACAGTCGTCCAGATTGACTCGCAGCTGAGGGCCCCGATTGTGCAGTTGCAGACTTCTCCCTTGGACCTGATGCTGTCTGGGTACCTGCATACAAAAGTGTGTGTGCTTGACCAGCGGCCTGGGCCAGGTACCTTTGGACTTGACTGTTGGGGTCTCGACAGTTGACCAAAGTCAACTGTCACACGTCCAGGCCCTGGGTCCTTGTATGGGGTCCTTTTTGCCCCCGTTTCGGCCTGGGCTGAGGGCGGCCGAGTCGGCCCTCAGTCTTTCCACGAGACATATGGCATGGGTTATTGCACTTATTTCTTTTCTTTAATTTGCACCATTTCTCCATTTATGTGTCATTCTTGCGCAGAGTTAGGCATGGCGGCCTGAGTAGTAGGGGACATATCTGCTTTTGTATTGTCCTCTGTACATCGGGGCAAGGCCCACCAGTCGGCCATAGCCACCACCATTCGGATGTGGCTGAAGGTGTCGGTCATGGCTGTGGTGGACCTCGTTGGTTGCTGGCAGTGATGAGGAGATTCAGACATTTGTTCTGGTTCAGTCATTCATTGTCATTATCATTATTTATTGAAGTGAACAGGTTGGGGGACATGAGGAGGATAAAGCGAGTTAGCGAGTGAAGGGGGATTTGGCATTGGTCTTTGCACTTGGGAATAGATCATAACATATTTCTATGCATCGTCAAAACAAGGGGCTGTGACAAACTGTTTCATCGGAGTCTCAAACACTCATCAGGAGGCTGAAACATCTACAGTCTGCAGAATCCCCTAACTGATGAACATAACGGCATGAGGCTTGCTGGGGGCCCTTTTGTCTGTCGGGTGCAGAGGCCTGAAAGGCCCTGCACGCGGCTCAATCCTCGCATACCCCCACCAAGATTTTTGGCTCCTTTTAGTTTAAACTCATAGCTGCCCTCATGCATCCCAGTCATTTCTATAAACTGAGTCCCTGTTTTGATCCTTTTACGTTAAACTCATAGCTGCTCCATGGATACTTAAGATCCTTCTGTTTTTTTTTCTTCCTTTTGGTTTTAACCATGGCTATGCCGGACCCGGACCCGGACAGCTCATGTCCGGGGACAGCACGCATGTCCGGTCATGTACATGCAATGACTTGCTGGTTTCTGGTTGCCTGTAGCCTCTGTCGTCGAGGCTGTACCATAGGTAGGATAGATTTGTAATTTTGTTTGGCTGAGGGCCAACCAAGAGACCTACCTGTAGGGAAATTCTAGAGGGACATATCTGTAAATTCAGGAAAACACAGGCCCGTACTAACTGAAATTGCCTACAGCTACCCTAATTGCGAATAGCAGACCCAGGCTACCCCTAGGACAGAAAGGCCCTATGGGTACTAATTGCCTACAGCTACCCTAATTGCGAATAGCAGACCCAGGCTTCGCCTAGGACAGAAAGGCCCTATGGGCCTAAGCTGATAGACGGTCCTATAGCCTATAGCCGGGTTGGGAGAGGCCCTAGAGGCCGAAACTGAAACGGTACAGGTCGGTCCAGTCAGTCTGGTCTAGGTCGTGTCTAGGCTAGTGTAGGTTATAGATAGAATGAGGACATCGGTTCAGGGCTTTTGGCGGTTGGTACTGTGTACATCGCTGCGGTGCAACGCATGAACTGGCGTGGTAACAGCTTCAGCGTTGGAGGAGACAGATGTTATGATTCTGGTTGTTTGTTGTCTGAATACCAAC